TATAAGGTAATATTACTCTCCACATTCCTTTATACTGTGTAGTGGGGCTCACAGCGATCATAATATGTATGAAAGATATACTGGGTTATTTAAATTTCTTGCTGTAGTTATTGTTTCAATGAAATAATCATATAAGCTAAAAAATTTTCTCACAAAATTCTTAACACATAGTTAGTCATTTGATTTCATAAAATAACCCCTTAAATATACCTTTCAAAAACATTTATTAACATAAATAGTAATTTGTTATTATTAAATACGAAACCTTTAAAATAATACAATTATCTCATGATAAAATACTATAAGATAAAAGTTGAATAACTCTGACTATAGTAATTTATGTAAAATATCCATTTACTCAAGTCCTCGTCCTTCCGCTTATACTCCGCCATTGTGATTCTGTTCTCGACATCATTTTCTTTTCTGTACTTGCCAACTAACTTAACGTATTCGAGGATAGCGTTTTCGCTTAGTCCGACGCTCTGCAAAACATCATATGAATGGTGTTATGCAAAAAGCAACCAACCCCAAAAAATCGAGATTTTAGTTTTGTTGGTTGGTTGCTTTTTGCATAACACCATTCATATTTTACGCAGTCTAATAATATAGGTCATTTAAATTAACTAATGTAATTTCTGTTTTAGGCATGACTTTTTATCCAATTCTTAATTTTATAATCTATGTTTTACTTACCCGCGCTGTCATAAAAAAGTATATTGAGATGATGAGAAGAGATATTTTGAAATACATAATGTTTTAATTTATTTTAGTACTTTAACGAAAATTCAATTACGTGTAAAATAAACAACCATAGAACTGAATACAACAAATGTGACTAAATAATTGTGTTGTTGTTTTTGTAGATTCAGGTTTGCGGTAAAAATATAGGAGACTATGTTTTTGATAATACAAACCAATAAAGTAATAAAAAAACACATGTAACACAAAACAACATAATATGTACTAGATAATGAAAACAAACAATTTTTTACTCAAAAACTAATAGTTTGCGTATAGAATGGCTGAAAAAACTAATATAACTAATTTTTTAACACAAACTAAAGGTATCTAAAAACAATCAACCCGTTTTTGGATAACGACCACGGTTATAACCGTAGTAGATAACCGTGATAACGACTAACGTTAGCCACATGTTCTGCTTAAATCCTGTATTTTAAGAATAATATGTTTAAAATTCTAAAATGCTAATAAAAATAACAAAATTATTCAAAGTTAATATTTAGTTAATTGTTGCTTTCGCGATTTTTAATTGGGTTTTCATAGAAAAATTTGTAGAATTTAAATGCAAAGCTCTGTGTAAAAACCTGTTAGTGCGCTATTGTTTGTCAAAACGTTTAAATTGTTTGATATAAATTGTTTCATTATTTGCTTTTAAAGAAGATCGCTGAAACTTTTTTTATCATCAATAACAACACATATGTAATATAATTATTGTAATATTATTTAATATAACAATTATTTTTAAAAAGAACTTGGTAAATAGTCCTTCAATTTAATCAAAAATTTAGTCTTAGTATTAATTATGATAAATAATATAAATTGATATAAGTTTTCTATTTCATCGTTTACCTTTTGGGTGGGTAAGAATCAGCTATTTTTGCCTTATATATGAATAAAACAAGCGTAGCCCAAACCAGCACAGTAAGAAATTACTAAATTCGGCTCCAGCATCCACAGATTGTCATCGAAGCGTCTTCTGAAATGTGATTTTATTATTACCTCTAAATCGCATGTCTAAAAAAATAGATTAATATACCTTAACTAGTTCTATATAATTCAGCACATGATAGAAGGTTGTATACAAGTCTTTTATCTACAGTAGTTAGCAGTCGTTACCTATCATAAGGATAGATTGTTTCACAATTCTTCAAGTTATAAGACAACTACCTAGTATAATATAACTAGCAAAGTAAAATACAGAGTCCAGCAGAGAGAACTCATTGATCTCGCCGATGTAGCGCAAATCGTATGCGAATAGACCGCTGTCTGACCGTGTTTTGATTGGTGATTCGTCATTTTTAAGCAACTCTTCAACAGCAAAAAAGCGATGTTCTCCTGACCATGTCATGTTGTTTACTAAAAACGGCATGTGTCAACAAAAACAAAGCCGTGGTCCCCTCTACTGTACCCCCTTCACACTTAAAGTAACACGTCACTAAAATCAAGGAGTTTTTTCTTCTAGACCCTGTATAAAAATCTAAATTAAAATTAGTCAGCCGATACAAAGTTTCTAAACAATCTCATTCCATAAAACCCTTTGATGCGAGTTTGTGGATACTGGACCCCACTTTGGTAATTTCTTACCGTGCTGGTTTGAACTGTGCTTCTCGTTCTATGCAGCATGTAGAGGATAATGTATCTTTATGTAGAATGTATCGTTTGAGAGAATTATACATAAACTTAAACGTGTCAAATCCAGTTGCATATATTGGATTTAGTGTTTTCATATTTTAGCTTCTTGTATGTAGCATCTTGATTTGTGTTACATGTGTACTATACTTGTTTGTATTACCAAGTACAGTCACCTATATTCTTATTAAAAATTGAGGCATCTAGAAAAACAACAACGACTCATCCATTTAATCGCTTTGGTTGTACTCAGTTTCAACGTTTTTCAATTATACACATAAACAAATTTTCGTTAAAGTACTAAAATAAATTAAAACATTATGTATTTCAAAATATCTCTTTTCATCTCAATACACTTTTTTACGGCAGCGCGGGTAAGTAAAACATAGATAATAAAATTAAGAATTAGAAAAAAAAATTCATGCCTAAAACAGAAATTACATTTGTCATTTAAAGAGACCTATATTATAAGACTGCGTATAATGTTTTCAGAGCAGAATTAATTATATAACTCCAGTTAACCCTCCGTTTGTCGTGCGAGTAACCGTGTTTGGTTAGTGCGCTATTGTTTACCAAAACGTTTAAATTGTTTTAGTACTTTTTTTTTAGAAGATCGCTGAAACGGTTTTTATCATCAATAACAACACATATGTAATATAATTATTGTTATATTAGATAATATAACAATTATCTTTATAAAGAACTTGGCAAATGGTCATTCAACTCATTCAAAAATTTAGTTCTACTATTACTTTTGATAAATAATATAAATTGATATAAGTTTTTTATTACATCCTTTAATTTTTGGGTGGGGAAGTGTCAGCTAATTTTGCCTTATATATATATATAAAAACAAGCACAGCCCAAACCAGAACAGTAAGAAATTACCAAATTTGGTTCCAGTATCCACAGATTCTTATCGAAGCATTTTCTTGAATGTGATTTTATCACTACCTCGAAATCGCGGGTCTTTAACAAGTTTAACTCTGTATAAGTATTTGGTGCAACCCTGCATAAGTATAATGTGACGTCTTACGATAAATCAGTAAATGGTTATAAAAAGTTGTAAATTCACATTTTTTTTTAGTTCAGAATACAAACACTATGATTTTTATTTTTTAGTTTGCATAATGAGAACAACTATATCAGTTATTTTTAACAGGGTACTAACTTACAACGTTAAATGGCTACAACTTTTAACGAGTTGGGTATAAACCAATGATGTTAAACTTTTTTGTCTTAAAATGTAGGATTTAAGCACAACATGTGGCTAACGTTAGTCGTTATTACGATTATTTGCTATACGATTATAACCGTGGTCGTTATCCAAAAACGGGATGCCTGTTTTAGATAACCTTAGTGTCTGTTAAAATATTGTTAATAGTAGGTTTTTCAGTCACTATACCTACACAAGTAGTTTTTAGGATAAGCTATTCAAATTGTTTATTCTCATTACCTAGTACTTATCTTGTTTCGAGTTAAGGTTTTTTTTTTACTCTATTTGTTTGCCTATGTTTTTACCGCAAACTGGGGCATCAACGAAAATAACAAGTTATTTTTTGTATTTACATTTGTTGGTTTTATTGTTTTCATAATCTAGTTTATTGTATCTTATATGTAGTATCTTTTTTGTTATTGTGCACATTGTGTAGCTTACGTTAGCAGGGTCAAATTTAAGGGGGGGGGGGAAGGGAAGCCTCAAATTATTATGTCGATCTTTTATTTTTATATATATATTTTACATACAATTTTCGAGTGGATGGCTGAATGTAATATTATTAATATTTTCCCAAACATTCATATTGTTATTAAGATTTTTCTTACTATTCCAATTACCAATTGCACTACAGAATGATCATTTTCGAAGCTAGCTACGATTAAAAACAAGAATAGATCTTCGTTAGCACAAGATAATTTTCTATTGTCCTTAATTATTTTATCCACGGAAAATGATGTTCTACAAAACTTAAGGTTTGATGAAACGTTGAGAGGATTTGCTTCACAAAAAGCAAGAAAAAATATTTACATACAAGACTTAATTATATATATTTATTTTAATTTTCATACATGATGTAATAATATATTTGTTATTTGAAGTTCTGTAATGATTTTCATTTAATTTGTATATATATTTATTTAACAGGCCTTAAACACAATGTATTTATAAAACAAAAATTAATTGATGAATGGTACCTAATATTCATTTTGAAAAGTGTGATTTTATATTATAGTTATGTGTACTCCAATGTGACTAATGGTATAATGTTCAAGCATGGATTAGAACAAAATCTTTTGTTTTTCATTGATGGGGGCCTCAACTTAATATCGGCCCGGACTCTTTGAGGTCTTAATCCGGGCTTGAACGTTAGTAGTTATCCAAACACGAGTTGCTTGTTTTTAGATACCTTTAGTTTGTGTTAGAATATTAGTTATATTAGTTTTTTTAATGTTACAATTCAAATTGTTTGTTTCCTACGTCAAGTACATATGTTGTTTTGTGTAACATGTGTTTTTTTACTTTAATTGTTTGTATAATTAAGTACATATTCACTTATAATCTTAACGCAAACTGAGGCTATCAACAAAAATAACAACGACTCATTTATTTAATCGCATTGGTTGTACTCAGTTCCAAGGTTATTTTATTTTACGCGTAAGCGAATTTTCATAAAAGTACTAAACACTATGAATTTCAACATTTCTCTTCTCATCGTCTCTATATACGTGTTTACGGCAGCGTGGGTAAGTAAAAATATATAATACAAAAATAAAAAATAAATTAGAAAAAAAATCATACCTTAAGCAGAAATTACATTAGTTATTTTTAAGGACCTATATACATAGACTGCATATAATATGATGTTTGGCAGAGCTTGGGATTAAGTGAAAGCGATATCCACAAAATCGTTCAGTTAGTTGAAGATTACAGAGCACAAAATGATGATAATATCAGAATCACAATGTTGGAGTATGGGTTGATAGATAACGACAATAGTAAATAGATAGCAAGTTTTACATACATTACGACAGTCAGGGTTATTCAACTTTTATTTCAATTACTTTACTATGTGATAACTATATTATCTTAAAGATTTCAAATCATAATTAATAATTAACCAAAATAATTTATGTTAAAAATGCGAGTACAGTATGGTCGGGGCGTTTCCCGGATTCATTACAACTAAAAGTGATAAAATCACTTTCAAAAAACGTTTTGATGCGCATCAGTAGTTAGTATTTGCAAACCAGTTATATCCAAACCAAGCACAGTTTGAAACAGCACAGTAAGAATTTATTAAAGTGAGCTTTAGTGTTTACAAATTTGCATCAAAGCGTTTATTTGAAAGTGGTTTTATCACTGTTATTAAAACCTCTTCGTCCCCACTATACATTGATTCCATTGTGCGTAAACCTTACTGTACTGGATTACTTGGATAAAATCCTTTTTTATTATCAGCTAGATATTGCTCTCTTGACGGAAAACCAACGTTGTCGAAAAACAAAATCACAATAAAAATAAAGTACTATCAATATAGTTAATTGATTTTATTTTTCTTAACCGACCATATCCTGCAGCATATTAAGTTTATACTGCATATATTATTATGACCATTTTAAATTTACATCGAATTTTATAGATAGAAAATTTTATAATAATGATAATGACTGCGTTTACAAATTCGATGGTGTAGCTATGATCGATGATAAAAGTTTACCGGATCTATTGATATATTTGAGCAATCTGGAAAAGTTATCTGACGATTGGAAGGTAATACCGAAATAGTATACACAAAAAGATGTTCTTCATAACAATATACATAAGAGAGTTAATTAATGTTATTATTTTTTTTTTGTAATTAATATTAGGGAAGAACTTTGACTACTTACGAAGTAGAAATTTTCTTGAAAATTTTCCAAAAAAAAGAACAAGAAGGTGTAAAAGACGGGCTTATTACCCATGCTGAATTAGTGAGCCTAATTGATGACGATTTAATCCTAGACCCTGAATTTGAGGAAAACATAAAAAAAGAATTTAATGGTAAAAATGTATTTAAAAACATACTTAAAGTTTGTTAATACTAAAAACAGTAATTTATTTTTAGATGGAGATTCAGTTAACGCTCTAATGTTCTTGGCGACAATATTAAAGCATAAACCGAATGTAAGAAACCGTTTCTCTGTGAAACTAAATCTTACTCAATAGCCTATGTGTGCTAAAGTTTCTGTTTTATAAAAATAAACTGTGTTAAATTTATATTTAGGGTAAAGGTCTTGACATAATACAGCTAAGAAAATGCTCCGCTTTGTATAAATCTTTTTATGTTAACTTTCCGATTGAAAGCCGAATAGACTTATTTCTAGCGTTACAAATCATTTCCGACAATTATGTTGGGTTACTGTTCGAGTTGAATCACGTCCGTAAGTGTAAAATTATATTAATTTAAAATAAATTTACTATAATTGCATAAAAAAAAAATTTTTTAAAAAAATATTTGATAACGTTTTTATAGAACCCCCTGCTAATGAGGTGCAAGAGCTCCTAATCTTTATGTCGGAATATAATAAGGAGGTCAACGAAAATGTAATATTGAATAACGCTTAAATTTGTATACAGTTTAACTAAATTTTTTTAATTAGTTCCGATCAGTAATAAGGTATAATGATGATTTTTCAGTCGCAGCGTTTCACTACTCTCGATGTTAGATATACGATTGAGGAGTTCTCTTTGTATGACATAAACAGTGACGGTGTGCTCAGCTTTAATGAATTTAAACCACTAGCTAGAGATTACTTACTAACAGAAGATATTTTAAGTAATTATTATAAATATGATAAAAGCATTATATTTTATTTAATCGTTTTGAATAAATATTTTGATATTTTTACAGTAATACATAGATATAATATAATATATACAATACAATAACAATAACTAAAACTAAGTACAGCTTTTCTTCATGTTTCGTATTACTTCTGAATTACAGTTTTTATGTTATATCATATTTTTGACTTATTCCGTTTTCTAAATAAAAATATTTAAATAATTTGTTTTTGATTTTAACTACTTTTAAGGAACATTTTTTATTTTAGATAACTCTAGCATTCTGGAACTTGAATCGGTCGCTAAACTCTACCACCTCGCGCAAACAGAACCAATCGATCATGAGGCGTTAGTTGATCACGATGGTACGAATATTTAGTTACATATTTTATTTTATAAATGTTATACAATAAAGAAATGTACCTAATTGATGTCATGTCTAATTTGATATACTTTTAAAAAAACTGTTTCTAGTTAAATGTTCACTGAACACTGCTACGTTCTTGCACTTGAAATACTATTTACGCTTCAAAAACGCGACAACGAATAAATCAAAAAGATGGGCCATGGATTGGTCGTGGATGAAAGAAACTATGGCATTTATTATTGAGCTCACCAAAGAAAGTTTATGGATACAATAGTGGAAAAGAAATAATGTATTATTTTTTTATTATTTGAAATTTTGTATTCTTATTGCTTTGTTTCAATTATTTAAAAAAACTTGTGGATTATCTCGTATTTTAAATAAAGAAAGCAAAAACAAAAATGTATTCAATTGATTTAAACATGATTTTAGCAGTATCCTATGAAATTAAATTATAATATGTTTTTTTGTTAACATAATAAAAATATTACATTACGAATTTTACAATACCAAAAATACTATGATATCAACATGTTCACATTATTTACTTATTTATATTTTAACGGGTATAACCCTTTTACAATGTAGTTACAACACTTAAATTTAAAAAGAAAAGTTATAACATTTACATATACAGCATTTACAATAAAATTAAAACATAATAACAAGTAAAAATAATTTAGGGTTGTATAAAAAGTGGGTTGGCATTGGCATTTGACATAATACGTCTCATTGGTTCATTGGAAATATAGTTGGTGCTGCAAGTGGGAATTGAAAAAGGAGTATAAGATCTAGTACGCCTAGGAGGAACTTTAAAGTTCAATAAAGATAAAAGGTAAGAAGAAGAAATATGACGGATTAATAAACCATACAAAAATTTGAGTTCGCTCGTTTTTCGACGATCAGCTAGCGAGTTTAGGTTAAGGAGATCTGCAATTGGTGCATAGTCATGAGATGCATGTGGAACATTTAATAAAAAACCTGCGTGTCGCAAAAATCTACGTTGAACTCTTTCTATTAAGTAAGAGTCGTAAATAGTATGTGGATTCCAAACAATAGAGCTAAACTCAATAACCGGACGAACTAAAGCGCAATACAGCGTTTTCAATGATTTTTTTAGTTTTAAATCCGATGTAATCCTCATTACAAAACCCAATGTTTTAAAAGCACGGCAAGAGATCGTCTCAATATGAGGCTGAGGATCAAGCAAACAATAAAATTTAAAACCTAGGTCAATGACAGTGTAAACACGTGTCATATTGTAAGTATCGGAATGATAAGTATACATAATCGGACTTTGAGATCTGCTATAGGTCATTACATGGCACTTATCAAGATTAAGGATCATTCCTAAAGATTGAAACCAAGTAATAAAGCGATCGAAATCACTTCGTAACTTAACACAGTCATTCAGGGAATCGATGCGCATAAATAGCTTCATATCGTCAGCATACCATAGTAATATATAGTTAGCTAAATTATGAATAATACCGTTGACAAGTAAAGAGAACAACATGGGAGATAAATGTCCACCTTGAGGAATCCCAGACGAAGTCAAGAATAAATTTGACTTAACTCCAAACCTAGTTTTTAGATATGTATACTCATAAACCAAGTACTTTAACTCCCATGTCCACAACCATGTTTTTCAACAACAACAAACTAAAGTACGTTAGAATGAATTCCAACGTAAATTAAAAGAGAAGAACAATTAATTAATTTGGGATACTTATATCTGTTATTAGCTATTTTATATCTGTAGACTGAATAAAATAATACCTCATAACTTAGAATGTCGGATTAGCCAAATGTTTATAATAATATAATAATAAAAAGTTATTATTTCATAAATTTAAAAAAAAATTGTTTCCCATCCTTCTTTTTTATAATGTGATTAATTTCAAAAGAATCTGCCAAAACTACACTTAAATCAATGGAATACAATTTTTTTTATGTTTTCTTTATTTAAAATACGAGTCAAGTTTAAGATTATGACAAAATAATTAAAATGGAGCAGTAATAAAACGTTAAACAAAATTAATAATAATTTTTCCGTCTCCACTGCTTCAGTGTTCTTGCCATACTTCTTCAACGATTCCCAAAACACGCAAACAATTTATTAAGCCATCTATGCTTGCGCCGGGCATATAGTTCTTCTATTGCCTCATATTCATTTGTAACTGGCATTGTCATATTTTCGGTTGTTTCTTCCATTGCCCTTCGATAAATGACCCAGATATTTATTTCATCCATTGCCCTTCCATAACTATCGCCCCCGGCATTTGTTTCTTCCATTGCCCTTCCATTATTATTTCTCTGGACATTAGTTTCTACCGACGCCCTTACATAACTATTGCCCCGTGTATTTGTTTCTTCCATTGCACTTCCATATTTATTGCCCTGGACACTAGTTTCTTCCATTATTATTGCCCTGGACCTTAGTTTCTACCGACGCCCTTCCATAATTATCTCCCCAGGCATTTGTTTCTTCCATTGCCATTTCAACGTTGTCCGGGACATTTATATCTTCCATGGCCTATTCATTATTAAGGCTCTGGGCATACGCTTCATCCATTGCCACATTTTCATTTGCCATGACATTTGACTTATTCGTTGTCACTTCTTCATCGCATTCTTTTTCTTTTCGTTCAAAAATTAAATAGTATTTCATGTACAAGTACGTGGCAGAAGTCATTGAACAGTTATCTAGAAACAGTTGATTTAGTTATATACCAAATCAGGCATGTATGTTAACTTTTAACTATCGTATAACATTTATAGTACTTAACATATATATATCAAAAATTATTGTTACCGTCAGGATTCTCAGTGATCTCATAAACAGCTCCTAGTTCTTGTGAGAGTTTGTAAAGTTTACCGAGCGACTTAAGTTCCGGTGTTTTGGACGTATCTAAAACAAAACAAATATATATAATCAAATAAAATCTAAAAATATATTTTAATGTTTTTTTTTTTAGAATACGGGACAAGTCTAATATATTTTATAATACAAAAAATGTAATCGAGAAATAATAAAATACGTAGAAAAAAAAAATGTACATTAGTAACAGTATTATATTACTAATGTACAATTACATAATATTATATAATGTAATTATATACACTTATATAAATTATTACTGTTAAAATCAAAATGTTTATTAAAAACGACTAAATAAAATATAATACTTATATCATATTTATATAATTATTACTTAAAGCAGCTTTTGTATCGTCTTCAGTCAAGTAATTGTTAGAAAGCAAGAAAAATTCATTATAGCTGATCACACCGTTATTGTTATAGTCAAACAATGAGAACTCGTAAATAAAATCTCTAACATTTTCACTAGTGATATGTTTCGACTGAAAAATCATCATTATACATTATTATTGATCATGACTAATTATGGATATGTTATAAAAACAGAATAAAAATCTAAACGTTTCTCAATATTACATTTTCGTCGACCGCCGTATTATATTCTGACCAAAAGACTAAGAGCTCTTGTAGCTCGTTAGCAGCGGGTTCTAAAAACAAGTTATTAAACATTTGGTTTTATTTTCTTCTACTAAAATTTAATTGTGATACAAAATGATTTCACAGTATAACAATTTTACACTCACGGACATGATCGAAATCTAATAGCCAAACATAATCATCGGAAACGATATGTGCCGTTTGAAGTAAGTCTATTAGGCCGTCAATAGGAAGGTGAGCATAATAAGATTTATACAAAGCCGAGCATTTTCTTAACTGTTTCTTGTCAAGACCTCTGCCCTAAATATAAATTAAATACGTTTTTTGTTAACAACACAGAAATTTTAACATAAATAAACCGTCGAGTAAGATTTGGCTTTACGGTGAGCAGTTTTCTTACATCTGGTTTATGTTTTAATATGGTCACTAAGAACATTAGTGCGTTAATTGAATCTCCATCTAAAAATAAATGACAGTTTTTAATGTTACCAAACTTTAAGCATATTCCTAATACACTTTTACCATTAAATTCATTCTTTATTTTATCCTCAAATTCGGGTTCTAGATTAAAATTTTCATCAATTAGGCTCACTAATTCGGCGTGGGTGAGAAGCCCGTCTTTCAGCTCATCTTTTTTATCTTTATTTTTGAAACTTTTCACGAAAAGTTGTACTTTGTAAGTAGTAAAAGTCTTCCCCTAATATGTAGTATATACACAACAAAAGTTATATAAATTAACTTCCTTTATAAAATTAAGCAAAATTTTGTTGGATAAGCTGAGACTAATGTACATAAGAAACGAACTTTCAATAATCTTTTTATGGCCAAAGATACTCTAAACTAAAAATACTATATGACCATGACCAAAAAATTAAGAAAATTTGAGAACATTTTTTTCCTTGAACCAGTCATGCAGTGTAATTTATATAAATCTGTGTAATTGCAATAATGTGCTTATAAGGTTTTTTTAGTATTTGGGTTGATAATAAAGTGATTG